TTCTGCTCCACTCAGCTTTCTTAAAATGTTAACAGCAAAATTAGCAGATGATAATAGATTAGTGATAATAACTCCAAGGTCCATTCTATTTGCTGCTTCAATAAGCATTAAAATGTTAATTCCATCTAAGTTTTCAAAATCAATTTCGGTAATATATAAATATCTTTTAAATGAAAATATAATTAATAATAGTTATTAATAAAACGCATATAATGATACATATATAACACAAATTAAATACCTTAAAATGACTTCAAAAATTGTTGCTGAAATATTTTCAACTGTAAAAATAAAAGGATCTTTATCTTTTTTTATGATTAAAATTTTTAGAAAAGGCCTTTTTTAAATAAGAGGATGCACATAAAATTAATGAATGTGCATAAAAATCTTTAAAATTACTGCCTTCACCAACACGAATTATGACATCATATTGATCCTTAATTTCAAACAGTCTTTTATTAATATTGACAAGATCATCATACGAGCTAAAAAGTACGTAGTTTGATTCGTTTTTGAATAGGTTATAAAATAATTTCCTTGATTTTAGAACTCCGGCTTTTGTTGGTACAGAATTAGGATCATGTTGATAATTTAAAATATTATTAAATAAATCTTTTGATAAAATATTTTCAAGAAATTTCTTATGTTGTTTAAATTCTTTCTTTGAAATATGAAACCAGCGAATTAAAGGAATAAATTCATTAATAGCCTCTTTAAATATATTGTAATCATTTTTTTCCCAGTTACTTATTTTTTTTTCTTGAATGGTATCTTTAATTTGAGCAATTCCCCATTTAATTAAATAATTTAGAATTCTATCTTCGTTTAATCATCACGTTGCAATATGAGAGCTAGAATATGTGAATCTAGCTGTGTAAACTTTGAATGTTCAAATATTTCATCTGGATGTGCACATATAAGTTTAAGACTTGGTTCACGAAGTGATTCGAATATATTATATTGAAAAACAATTTGTAATACTTTAATTGCATCACTTTGTATTAATTCTTCCAATCGTCCTTGTATTGAAGAAAATAATTTACTATCGATTTCTTCACTAAGAAGTAATTTATCTATTTCTACTAAAAATTCCAAGATCTTAAAACCATCTAATTCGTTTAAAGAAATTTCTGTAGTATATATGTAACTTTTAATAATAAATATTAATACGATTAATATTCATTATTTGACAAGCATATAAATATTGTAAAATAAAATTAAATATATAAACCTTAAAACTGCTTTAAATATATTTATTGACACATCTTTCATTTCAATAATAAAGGAATTTCCTTCTTTTTTAGCCCATCTACTGGAAAGAGCAGTATCAAAAAAGGTGGAGCGTGTTCTTAAAATAAGGGAATGTGCATAAAGCTTCTCTAAACTTTCTCCTTGACCAAAGCGAATAATTACATCAGAATTATGACCATTTTGCAGAAGTTCTTTATAATATAAAGCAAGTTCTTTAGAGTTTCCCTTCATTTTTTCAGTTTAATGATTTTTATCCCAATTTCTAAAGAATTATAATTTTGTATTTAAATTTTGACACTTTATATACAGCCGACCCTCCATATAGTCACCTCCCATACAATCACATCATATGTAATCACATTTTTATTTAGACCAAACTATGCTTTAATTTATAAGAAAAAAAAACCTCCATATAAGCACAACCCCTTTAAAAGCACATTTTTAAAAAAATTTCCTATGTGCCCAACTGTGTGATTGTATGGGATGACGACTGTAATTACATATAAAACACATTTAACATTCTATTTTGGATAATTCCTTTTAAGCAATTTCATTATCAAATTTCATTGTTTGTCGTTGCATTTTTTAAGTTTTAAAAATTCATTATCAACATTCTATTTTAGGTAATTCATTAATTTCATTTCTAAGTGGATGTAAAATATGACGATGAGTGCCAATAAATTTACCAGTCATATCTTCGATCGGAAGAGCATTACCATTGTGTGTGTGTTTGATTCAGTAGCTGGAGTTAAGGTCTTACATAAATTCCGAGTTTAACCCGATTTTGTACATATAATGATAATGAGAAGGGCGATAATTATTGCGACTTTATAAATCACATGTAATTTTGTTGTTCAGCCTTTTATAGTTGTTTTGTAATACGGTACGTAAATTCCGGGATTTCTAGTTAACGTTGTGATTGCATAATGGCACTAGAACTAGTTTTCATTATTATAATGTACAAATACCTAATATTTTAATATATTGTATACATATAGCAAATCAATAAAATATAGAAACAGAAAATGTAATGTAAAAAGAAAAAATAAGAGCTAAAAAAAAGAAATATTAGCTTTGTAAACTACAGATTTGTAATTCACTAAATATAAATCTCCAAATAAATAAAGATAAGGATTAAATATATAAAATTTGGAGAAATAAAGGTTCAAATTAGAAAAAATGTATAGTGCTTTGATGTAAATATAAGATAAAAAAAGAAACTTTGAATTTAAAAAAAGAGAGTATAATATTAAATTAGTACTAAATTTCTTTTATATAAAATTTATTGATTAATTATATGATTATATTTGATGTATTATATGCATATTAAAAAAATCACTTAATGTTGAAGTTTAAAAAGTTAATAATTAATTATTATCCGGCAAACTCATATGATCATGAAAAAATTTCTTTCTGTTATTTTTTTCATGTGTTACGATATAATTAT